TGTATCTATCTATCTATCTGAAAGTAACATCAGTCAGCTAAGTAACAAACTTTTACTCATAATTCCATATTATATATATGTGTGTGTGTGTGTGTATGTAGATAGATAGATAGATAGATAGATAGATAGATAGATAGATAGATAGATATGTATATATGTATGTTTAATGTAGATAGATAGATAATGTGTGTGTGTGTGTGTGTATGTGTTACATCTAAATACGGTAGATTCCTACAGCGTGTTGGTGGCTTTTTTAACAAATTATTTCCTAGAAAGAATGAAAATATGAACAAAAAGCTTTTCATCTAACCATAAATATTTTAACGTTACTTTTTTTAAGATCGGTAGGTACCAATATTACATACATCCATCACTTTATATTTACTGAACTTTACTTAGTTTAGCACAAGAGGACAAGTTGTTTACCCTACAAGCACCTTGTCGTGTCTGTAACGCAAACAACGGATACCTTTGATTATTTACCTGGGCAGCACTTTTATAATTTCTCTGAATTATCTTGTTTAGTAGAAAATTTGTAGACTTTTAAAAAAAATTCTCTAATGATTTTATTTAGATGCAACGTTTCCATAGAAATTAAACTTTGTATTTCATGCTTTATTAGAGGTTTATTTTTTTAATGGATTTTCTAAGAATTTTTAACCATTATTGTCCTTTTATTTCGTTTCTCTTCTCTAAATTGACTAAAATGTTCAATTTTGTAAGCAAAAATAATCACAATGATTTCTTTCTTATCTTTCTTCATTTTCCGGTTTTTCTGGTTCCTAATAAAAAGAAACCATTTCACTTTGGTTGGATCTTCTTTTAATATGCCTTTTGGGTTTCTGGTATATGGATTTCATGGGAGCTTCTGGGTCAGTCATCTTTCTGTGTCATTTGCAAGTAAATATATATTTGTTTTTGTTTAGTTTTGCAAAGAGATTCTAGTTTCTTTAATAAAGAAATCTTCTTTTTCTTCCTCTCCTTCTTCTTCTTCTTCCTCCTCCTCCTCCTCCTCTCTTCCGCTTCTTCTTCTTCTTTTCCTTCTTCTTCTTCTTCTTCTTCTTCTTCTTCTTCTTCTATAATCTATTTCATTCATTTTATAATTATTATTTTCTTTTTTTAACTCATTATAATCTTTCCTTTTTTCTTTTCATTTTTGCTTTTCGTCTCTTTATTCTCATTTCTTTTACATTTTCTTTCTTATTTGCTTTCCTTTTTCTAGCCTTCTTATTATCATTATTATTTTATTTTTTATTTTTCCTACTTGGTCTTTCATTTTCTTATTCATTTTCTGTTTCGTTTTTTCTTTCACTTCCTGCGTAACGCCTTCCTAAAAGGACCTTTTTCAAGCTAATAATATTTTTTTTATCGATGGATCCATAATAAGACTACTTATATATAAAGCGGGTGACAAGAAACACAACAAATGTTGCTTACAATGTTACACTCTAAATAAAGATATGGATGCTTTGCTTAATTTAATTTTAAAAAATTTTGATACCCTCTATCTAAATGTAAAACCTAACCGACCTCATTGAATTTCCTATCGCTTTTAGTTTTTATTTCAAGCCTTTTTAGAGAAATATGTTAATCAGACAATCTGATCATGTCGATAAGATAGAATTTGTGTTCTTTAAAGTCTTTTTGGACAGTATCTGGTAAGTTACTTTGTTTCGCGCGTTCGACATGCATGGTGAAGTCCAAGAGAAAATTAAACCCCACCACCTTCTCAAACTGGTGGTATGGAAGATATTCTGAAACAATTATCCCAAACTATCATGCCTATTTTTACATTCATTTGATGCTAAGAAACAGCAGCCCGATATTAGATGATCAGTAATCGCCTTGGCGTGTTTACAGAAATGAGTTTTGAATTTGCTCTACTCCTTAAAATAGGTGCCTGATAAGGTCCTGTTAGCAGGCTTTAAAAACCTTCTGTTTCTGGTTTCAACCCAGTTCCGCATTATTGATGTGTTAGATTTTTGTCGGTATCGGGTCTTGTTTACACAACTGGTATAAACTGTATAAGGATATTGTCCTTACCATAACTTATCATTTAGCACTTTCAAGTGACAGCAAATCCCCCAATATTCCTGAGCTTTTCGCAGACTTCTAGCTAATTTTAGTAATGCGGTTATCTAAATCTTCAATTCTGTTCCGAGTTTCCATTTCCAATTCTGTTTTCGCTGTTGTTGTTGTTGTTTTTTTTTTCTTCTTCTTCTTCTTCTTCTTATTATTATTATTATTATTATTATTATTATTATCATTATTATTATTATTCCTTTGATTTCTGCTGTATATACATTTCCTCCCAGAGTCCTAAGGTTAGAAATCGCTCCATGGCATTTGTAAAAAAAACTAAGTATTATTATCATTATTATTATTATTATCATCATCATTCGATTTCTGCTATGGACACACTACCTACCAAGTCTGCGGAAAGACCTAAGGCAGGTCGTGGTGTGTTGTTATGGCCACATTTCATGTTAATTTTTTTTTTTTTTTTTTTTTATCTCCGATGAAGTTGCTAGCGTTACATAGACAAAGTTCTCCTTAGTGTGTGTGCTGTACTTAATAAGACAATTTTCTGTATGTCTCTTAAGCTGGGGTTTCAGGGATTCTTTCAATGTGTTGTTTTGTTCCATTTTTATAATTCCAAGTGCACCTATTACCACTGGTATTATTCTTGTTTTCAATTTCCACATTTTTCTATTTCAATTTCAGGTCTTTGTATTTTGATAGTTTTTCAAATTCCTTGGTTGCTATGTTACAATCCGCTGGACAAGCCATATCAATTAGTAGGCAAGTTTTTTCTTTCTGGTTTTTGACAATAATGTCCGGCCTATTTGCTTCAATTTTTCTGTCTGTGTGGATGGTATAATCCCATAGAATTGACATCTTCTATTTCTGTAACCGGCGCTGGCCGATGTTCATTCAGTGTTTTATTACATTTTTCTTTGTGTTGCACATTGTCCAGTGTATATTGCCCCACTCTATCAGATTTTTATATTCATTTGGGGCAAGAAATAGAACATCCTGAGATTAGAAAAAAAATATATGTTTATTATCATTTTTATTATTATGGAATTATTATTATTATTATTTTTCTTTCCTTAAATTTCGGTTATGGATGGCTGGGAATTTAGGACCATCATTAGGATATCCCTGGTTGTGGGGACCTTATCATTATTATTAAATTAGTCCATTATTATTAACGTCTCCGTCAACAATGGCGGGATTTATGTGTCCACTTCCCAGTAAAGAGTCCATTCTACTTCGGATTAGTGTCACTTCCCAGAATGCATTTTAAAGATGTGGATTATTGTTATTGTTTTTCTTACAATTATTTTTTTTCTTTTTTTAACTTTTATTATTCATAAAATTAGTTGTATTATTATTTTCTATTCATAGTTTTTTCGCACCATTTGTTTTTTGTGGTTGTCACTGACTGCAAATTTTCTAATACACCAACACACTCTCCTAAGTCTTTTATATTGAACGAAATTGGTGACGTTATTATTATTATTTGTAGTAGTAGTAGTAGTAGAATATCTATGGTAACGTCAGATGCCTCTAGTGGTTGTCATTATGGACTGAATGATAGCATGTTTCCTCAAATCTCCAGCACCATCTTCCGTCTCCTTTGCACTGATCGAGATAGTCAATTATTTATCCTTGTAATTCGAATTCATCCACTTTCGATATTCATATTTTTGATTCTAAATACGACTTCTCATCTTCATGCACTTGTACATTTTCAGTCTTCATGTGAGGTCCTAGTCCTTATTTTACACTTTTTCGCTATTATTATTATTATTATTATTGAGGGAGAAGCAGTACCCCGACTAAATGAGGTTGGGAGTACAAATGTACAAAGTCCAAGGTACACATTATCAAGCCCGAAAAGGGTCAATCAGGAACATGCATCACAGCCAAATGTTTGAAATATGGTGGCATATTTCAATAAATTTTTATTATTATTATTATTATTATTATTATTGGTTCTTTTTTTTTTTAGATCCCTTAACGCTAATTGCCTCAAAAGTTAAGAGTGACAGTATATCATCTAAAAACTGCAATCCTTTTCTTGTTATATTTCTGCTCTGGACCTTTGTAGTAAACGTTATCTGCAGAAATCTTGCCATAAGTGATAAAAAAAAAAATTGTACATTACTCTACTTGTTATGGCAACAGTAGTCAATCTTGAAACCAAGTCTTCAATTACATTTATTCTTCAACTTTCTTCGATGCTCTGAATAATTTATTAGCACAAGACCATTGTCTATTACTCAAACTGCATACGTGCACACACACACACACATATATATATATATATATATATATATATATATATATATATATATATATATATATATATATATATATATATATATATATATATATATATTGATCAATTATAGGCTAGAACTTATTAATAATCAAATTAACTTAAATATTATTTTCTGGTCGATATTTGTTGACATAACTCTTCGTTAAATTCGGAAAATATCCGCAAAATGATTTTTCCTTGGCACTCGTTGCCACTGATGAAAAAAAAATTCTCAACGTATTTTCATATTCTCATCTGCTTAGTCAAGAAGAGTAAAATGCTTAAATTGTTTGTGAAATAAACCAATCAATATTTTTCTTAGGAATTTTTCTCCTAGGATCTCCATCTCTGAATCATCAAATTTCGGCTCTTGATTTCCTCAAATTTATTTAACTTTTATTTTTGATTTTTATTTGATTATTTCACTTGTATTTTGTTATCATTCAATCTGTACTTGATATTTTTGGAAGGGTGGGTACCTTTCAATGAAGACATAAGTCTGCTAATTCACTTTTCAAACATTCAATTGCCTTAATTGTAGTACTGATAGATTTTTTTTCATGTTGAATTAGTAGAGTATACAAATTACAGTATGCAAAATACACATGGAGAAGCCCGGAGAACGCATCAGACAAAAATTGTGTTCAAAAGATGAGGATAATTACTTTAC